CACTGAATTGTTTCCTCATGGCTACTTCAAATAAGAAATTTCACGATGAAGTTTTACGACAAGAGTCTAGTAGTTTTGATAGTATGGGAATCAAAGTTTTTCCTTGGAAAGTTCTAAGGAAACAGTTCCTCTACAGCATGATGTTGATGTTTTGAAGCAAAGCAGACTTCTACAATAGACAATACACAGATAAGAACCTGCATACTCGAAGCTACTCAGATTTTGGAGCTATGTAATACTACTCAGGCCTGACTAACATAAAACCTGCAACCTGACAACAGACTTTGATTTTACACTTCATGTAATGAATAACTATTTAAAAAAAAAAAAAACCACTTTCCTTTAGACCCAGTAAGCTAATTACTTGCCACATCTTACTTGTCCAGTCTTAGAGAGAGACCTTCAGTCCAAATTATGGGTACAAAACATGTCGCACTGTGTTCCCAAGGACATTTAGAAGCACCGCAGGGCTTCTGGACCCATCAACTGTTCACTCCTACCCATATCAGCTAGTTAAGATGCTAACTGCAACAGCTAATGCCAGCATGCCTTGAAGTAGTGCGATATGGACTGCAGCTGAGTTGAAACTGAAGGTCAGGACAAGCTTTGCACAGACAGTTACTTCACCATTTTCCAACTTGCAGCAGTGAATCCACAGAAGCCTGGCATCACACTTTATGAAGCGCGGATCATCAGGCTTCTGGATTAGTTAAAAGTAACTTAGCAATAGGCTCCCAGGAACCCTTTCCCATCAGATCCATCACTGGACTCTGCATGAAAAAGGCTCCAGTTGGGTACCCCTTTTGTTCAGTTAAACATTAGCTATACACTCACGTGTTGCGCAACACCTGCATGACAAGTTCCCTAGATGATGTAGGCCAAAAACAGTTCAGGAAGTTGTGTTATTTGAATCCATCAAGACCGCCTAAGAACAGCCTCGAGTAGGCTGAAACAGTTCTGGCCTGCAATAACGTAGCAATATCACCGTTTCTGCTCTCAAAGTTTCCTTTAACAGCAAATTGGAAGACTCAGCATAGAAACAGTACCTCCCAGAATTCAAGTTCCTCTAAGTTTTTTCAATGAAATAAAATGAGGAAGTTCAGTAGTTACAAGCAAACTTAAGCATTATGGGCAAGAGGCTTGCCCATGCAGGCTCAGAAGGCTGGACACTAAGTCTTAAGAAAGACCAGCTTGTATATGCAGTTGTGAAGGACACATGGTTAAGTTACCCCTTCTACATTAAACAGGAACTGAAGAAAAGTCCACCTAATCTGAATAGTCAAGTTCCACAATAGTATTGGCATGAAATCTATCAGCGCTTCTAGAGCTAAGCAGATGAGTTTCATTATGTAATAGTACTCATGTCATCAGAGACCTGGTAGTGGGTCACATGCATGGTTTGCATTTTAAATAATATACCATAGCCACATTTCCACAATGGTTTATTAAGCACTAGTCATAATAAACCAGTACAGAAATGAGAGTTTTAACCCTCTTAATACCAGGTTCTAGGTAATCCCACTACTCAAATGAGAATACTTATTGAGAACTACAGCTTTGTTCAATTGATGACATTTTCCATTCACAGCTAAACAAGAGCGCAGGGCTACACTAGAGCCACAAATTCTGGTCTAACTTTAAATTGATATCCAGGCAAAAACTGTCCAATGTTTAACAGTTTCAGTGTAACTAGACCGATAAATGGGAAAAAACAATTTTAACACCACTGTCGTTATCTAACAATGACACTATGGACAGTGGCAATTTATATAGCAATATAAGCTTCTTGCAATGATTCTTTTAATGAGGTGTCTAGAAATTAAATTCTTTCCACTTGGGACAGCGAAAAGTCACAACTTTGACAAATGAAGTAGATCTGTCACTACGTTGGTGCCTGCCAGTTAGCCAAAGACAAACCATCTGAATAAATCATCATGGGAAAAAAATGGCGATAGATGGGTTACAAGAAGCCAGCCATCATAAGGTCCTACTTATTTGCCCAAACACAATGGAAATTTTACTGTGCAAGTTCTCCTCAAAAAGATAGTCCTCAGCAGCAAAGACAAGCTGTCAGGATGAGAAGCATGGTTTGTAAGCCATAGGCTTGCTAGATTTGAAGCACACATTGCACAACTGAATTACCACTTCCAGCCCCCTGCCTGAACTCTAGCTTCACCAAAAACCATTTAAGGTGCGTGCTTATTTAAGAAGGTAAGCTTGCACTTCAACAACAGAACAGTTTCAGAATTTGTTACTGATATTTTTCCTCCTTTGGAGGGGAAAAAAAAAAAAAGGAAAGAGGAAAACAACAATAAGAAGAAAAAGGCCATCTCTTGGAAGTAGTCTATTAGTACCTCTGTGTGGTTTCATTATACCCTCCAAATCTAGAATTTGTCAGAAGCCAGTGGCCACTAGACAGAAAGCGTAGACTAGGCATTTCTGTGCCTGCACTGCCACAGCTGTACTGCAGAGAAGCCTGCAGTGGCTTTCACATTTTGCTGCGATATGCATTTTTCTTCACAAAAGACAACATCAGTAGCCAAAACTAGATTAAGACAATTGAATGTGTTCTTATTGTGACAGGAAGCCTTAACCTCACCCACCAAGAAAAAAAAAAAAAGTTAATACATAGAGGCAGCTTCACCACCTCGTTAATTCATCCCTACACCCTCCTTCGCAGGCCTCGTTCCCAAGTGAGGTTGTGTCCCGTCCCGTCCCCCCCGCTCCCAGGGGCCTGGAGGAGCCCGAGTGCGCGCTCACCGCGCGGAGGAGCCACCCGCGCCCTC